CAACACTTGTATTAATAAAAGTTTTCTTGGCACTTTGCAGCTAAAGAAAATACAGAAATAAGCAAGTAGCTGAGGTCTACAAGTTTTAATTACTACGTCTTAATTTGGGGTATTGCTGCTTAAAATAAGTGTCTACCTCCTACTCTGTGGGAGTTTTCTTTAACAGTGATGTATGCAGTAAAAAAAAAAAAAATGCTTAATTGGGTTAAAAAAAAAAGCAGGAAAATATTTAACATGCACTAACTTTAGAGTATTTCTTATAAAAACAAATTATAAGCAAAACCAATTAAAAGTGTTTTGTATTCATATTTCCTGGGAACTCTGGGGAGTCTGTAAATTGGCTCTTCCACGAAGGTTCAGTCTCAAACACAGGCCTTTCCCAAGAGTGTCTATAGCATTAAATATTCACTAACCCTATTTCCTTACTTCTACACTCATCACCATTTCACCATTAACAATGACGTGTTGCTTTTTTTTTTTTCTGAATTCTTTTTCCTGTCTGTATAATGACCGAGTTTCCTTCCCCTAACAAGTGTTCACAGTCTGTCTTATATTGGAGGTAACTGTCATTCCCAGGATTTTCAACTACTTGACTGTACTGAAATATATGCTTCTCATATGGATACACAGAAGTTATATTTTTAGAATTATTTTTTCTTGTTGTTAGGGTAGATAAGATGCTATCTCCAGCTTTCTGTACCCTAGGAATAATTCAGAAGTTTTTTGTATACATTTTTGAAAACTATATTTTGATGAACTAAAACATGAATTTCCTCTGTATAGCCTTTTAATTCATTTTATAGACTATAATGATAATGTGTTAATTTTTCTAAGTGGGTGGAATGATTGATGTTCTTTGATCAGATACTCAAATACTTTTAAAGATTAATATTGTAAGTATCATAGTATCACTGAAATTTAGAACATGTAAGTTCAGATACAGTGAATATCACCATCTGTTATTTCTGGATATTTTACTTTCCAGAAATATTGTTACCACAGAAATGTCAGCAAGTACATTTGTGGAAAGAGACCATCCCAGGTAGATACTAGTATTAACACTGTAGGGTATTTAATCAGTATGTGACCTACTAGATTCAACTCCAATCTGCAAATAAGTTGATTTGAAAAATGAGCGAGAGCTTGTTAATCACCACTGTGGTGATTCATGGCAAGATCCACATCATCTAAACTAGAGTATCATTATTGTAGGAAATTCATCATAGTGATTAGCCACAGATCCTTTGAAAAATTCTTATCACTACTTTCTCTGCTGGTCATTCATAATATAATTTATATATAAATTTTAATGTGTGTAATATGTGGCACAACATAAATGTTTGTATAAGACAGCACATTTGGATTCTATATTTGGAGGCTTAAGACTTACAAACATAGGCATGTAATTATTAGTGTATTTACCTACAAATGAATATCTGTTGTAGTACTAACACATGAAGTGATGATTCCAGAAGCATTTCCTACATGGGAGATTATTATATTAGAAAACAATTGTGAAAGCATGTCAGTTCATGTAAAAGAGCTATAGAATAATTTCTTTTACTTTTTGATTAAATTCAGTTTCCAAAGAATGTTCTTATAGAGTATCAACTAACAGAACATATAATCAGAAACAGTTACCAAAAATCCAATTTTAGTGTGTTAATAACAAAAATAACCCAGGATAAAATTAGTTCAACTTTTTAGGAGGAAAAGATGGCCAAATTACTAAAAACATGGAAATAAAATGTGCTTATAATTATGCAAGCTTTTTGAATACATTACAGATAGCTTGTTATTGTTTTTTATTTTTAATACATTATTTCCATGGCAACCTCCAGTTCATAATACATATGGTCCTTTAGAGATTTCAAAAAATATCCTTGTAGAAAAATGCAAATGCTCTTTAATGTTTTAAAAATCCCAGGAGGCAAAAATATGTTATAGCAAAACCATCACAGTTTAAAATTACATTTGGCTTAATGTTTATAAATATTTAGTGTCTATTGAAAATAAGCTTTCTTTAGGACAAAATATGCAGACATTTATATTTGGCAGTTCCTTTTCATCTTGGCATGTTTTATGACATGAAGTGTAATCTAAAATATGACAAATCATGTAATTATAAGAACTAAATAGTTTCATTTTCCCAGTATACCTCTGAAGATAAACTGATAAACATAATACAGGATTCATCCTGTTTTCTCCTTGAGTCTTGGTTTATTTTATCTATGAAATTAGGAGATTTAAAGAGTGATGCCTTTTTTTTATTGATAAACAGGGCATAGAGTAGAATTTTCAAAATCATTGTAATACCCCAGGAGAGAGGCAGTCTCAGAAAAAAGCCAGAAAACAGTATAAGCTTTACCGCAGGCTGACTATCACCAGAAAACACCCTCCAACAATCAAACAGCAATTTTCAGAGTTACCTCGTTAGATGACAATGTTAATTTTAACAAAAATTGCATACAAAGGAACAAAATAAGTTGACAGGACAATATACCTGAGGAAGCTAAGACATCAGAGTTAGAGAGATACTTTCAAATAACTGTCTTAAATATTTTTCAAGAATTAAAGGTAAGAGAAAACATGGCAGGAATATTATGTATAAAAATAAAGAGAATGTCAATAAAGAGACATTACAAAAGGGAACTAGAAAGAAATCTTGGACCTTATGAAATGTACACAAAAGTAGTTCGAAAGCAAATTTGATAGGCCTATTATCTAGAAGTTCCATGAACACGATAACCGCACAATGCTCAAACTTAAGAATGAAAGAGAATCTTGAAAACAGCAAGAGAAAAGTGACTTGTTCTATACAAAGGATCATCCCTATCAGTCAAGTTCTCATCAGCTATACTGGAGTCTAAAAGTCAGTGGGTTTGCTGTATTCAAAGTTCTACAAAAAACAAAAAAAACTTTCAAATGAAAATTCTATACACAATAGAAGTATCCTTCAAAAATGCCTTAGAAGAAATGTTGCAAGGGTTTTATAATGAAAAGATGATGAATTTTGACAAATGTATTTTAGTATCTGTTGAAGTGATCAGATGCTTTTTACCATTCATTTTTTTAATAGAGTGTATAAATCTGATTCAAACCATCCTTACACCCCTTGAATAAATCCCACTTAATCATAGTGTTCAATATTTTTAAAAGATTATTGAATTTATTTTGCTAATTTTGTTCAAGATTTTTGCATCTATGTTCATAAGACAACCATAGGTCACTTTATCTGGTGAACATAAAATTCAACAATCATTAAATAAATATTAGCAAACAGAATTTGACAGTACATTAAAAGAATCATACACTATGACTGAGTGGGATTTATTCCTAGGGATGCAAGGATGGCTCAACACAAATCAATGCTATACCACATCAATAAAAGGAAATACAAATGTCATATGAGCATCTCAATAGAGTGAACTTCACACACTGTAATTTTGCTATCTTTCAGCAAGCCCTGAAAGCAATATCTACATGCACAGCTGACTCCATAATTGCATAAGGAAAACACCAGTTTGCAATGCCAGCTGTGTGAGGGTTTGACAAAAACAAGACAAACTAAATACAAACTTGAACTTCCCTGAATTTAAAAGTTGGGCATAATGGACAAAATTGTTAATGGGGACAACAAAATATTTAATTGCTATAAAAATGACCTAGATCAAAATCTATAGATATGAAGAAAATTTGGCAATATATTTGAATTGACCAAAGAAAGATGTAGAAATATTTGAAATGCCATCCCACTTAAAGATCAGCAACAATAAAGATGATCTTTATATGTAATTGTATAAACATGGAGTGTTATGGAAAGATACATACTAGGCTTTTAACCTATTTTGTATGAAAGGGATGCGGTAAGAAAAAAAATAAACTTTTAACAGAGTTATAAAATATGCATGGCTTATATTACTGAAAATATATTTCTATGTGTGACAACACTATAAATATACGGAGACTGAATATGTACAAAGACTGGAAGGCAAAAAATTACATATGAGGTTAATTGGAAAAAATGCAAATATTAATTTGATTTTGATTTGAAATTGTGATCAAGTTTAACTTGGAGTTTTGTTAATTTTAACATAGCTTTTTCAATGAAGTAATTAGGGAAAAATGCCTGGAGTTTGTTTTGTATAAATATCTCTCAGGTTTTCCTTCAGTTACAATTTCTCTATAAAATCTTTCTTTAGCACTTTAAATTGAAGAACTTTGTTCCTTCTCTAAAATATTATAGCAATTATGTTATGCATAATGTAACAATTAAAACAATTAATCACCTACTGCTTCATGACATAACTTTTCTTGCTTGACCTACATACATTTTAAATTATTGAAATTTAAATATTTGTCATAATACCCAATTATATTTTGAATTCCTTATGGTTAGAAAAGCTTTCTAATAAATCTTGGGATTTCTCCAATTATTTACTACTGTGCTTTGCATGTATAGATGCCCTCAATAAAAGTGTGGAATTAAGAGTATGCCTTTGACTTAAGGAGGGCAATTAATTAAATTTGCCACACTAGTTCCTCAGTCAACCAATATTTACTCAATGCCTACAATTGAAGGCCCTAGGATTATTGGATAGAAAACTGTCACATATAGTTGGCAATAAATAAAAACAATATAAGAGCAGATGAACAATGGGCAATGAAATGGTAGAATAAGGAGAGTAGAAATAATTTCTATTTAAGCACAGACTTAAATCCCATGTTGGAAGTACTATGTGGATAACTGAGCAAAGGTTAAGTCAGACAGAATGAGTAATGCTGGCCATGTCTAGGAAGTCCCTGTAGGTAGAGTATCTAGCAGCAAGAAGAGGGGTGGTAAGAAAAGAGCTAAGGCAGTTAGCTAAGGGCCAGATCACACAGGTAATCCTAAGATTTAGAATTTTATTCCACTGTGTTAAGTCACTGGAATGTTTTGAATGCACAACTGACATGATCACATATTTAAATATAATTCTTTTGGTTTTTGTGGAAAATAGACCCAGCGACAAAAGAATAGAAAAAGGGAGGTGAGAGAAATCAGTGATAGTGAACCAGGTAAGTGGAAGGGTCAGCAACTGGTGAAAGTAATAATTGGAGCATTTTTCAGAAGAGATTTATTCACAGATACATGCCACATGAATAACAGAAAGAGTAAAACATTTTAGATTCAGGGCTTGGAAAGCAAGGTGATGTAATTGGTGGACTTTGGGTGATGATGTGTCAGTGTAGTTTTACTGACTGTAACAAATGCACTACGGTGGTAGTAGATGTCATTAAAGGGCAAGGTTGTTTGTAGGTTGGGGGCAGGGCAGTGAGGACAGATGATATATGGCAACTCTAGGTTCTTTCTGCCCAATTTTGCTCTAAGCCTAAAACTGCTATTAAAAAGTTTATTAAGTAAAGAAAATTAAACTAAACAACTGTCATTTACATTATTAAGTAGCTACCTGCATTAAATAACATCCTTTTCCAAATATGATAGCTGTGAGCCATTGCTTCGAGGGAAGAGGGTGTTAATAAATATTTCTAGCCAGAATGAATATTTCTATTGCCGCAATTCACATCTCAAACTTTTCCTCTCGGTAGTTCATGAGCAAATTGTACCTGAAGATCTGCAAACAGAAGAACCCACACATTGCACCTGGGAAGAAATTCCAGTATTTGGACTGACACAAACCTCTGAAATCACAGTATCGTCTTTGTGACCAATGGAAATTTCTACACCTCCTGAGATAGTTTGGTAAATATATTCTGTACTTCTAATATAGATTTCAAAGTTACCTTAGAAATTGCATATGAGGTTAATTGTGTTCACAAGGGATAGACTATCTGCTTGTGAGTCAACTGAGTATCTTGTTAATGTAAATGCTTAGGTGGAGCCTGAGATTCTAAAGTCCCAACAAGCTCCCAGGTGCTTCTAGTGCTGTGGACTGGGAATTATTACTTCTAGAGCTAGGCTCTGGACCGAATTTTTGAAAATGTGGTTAAGAATAATTTTCATTAAAATTGCCTGTGGTGATCATTAACATTTCAATTCTAGGGTCTATGACCTACCAAGTTATAGAACTCTGCATTTCAACAAGTGCCTGTGTGATTCTCAATATTTGGGAGCCAGACAGAGCATGTCCAGATAACTTGGTCTATAAAATAGTCTCTCAAAACCCCTGTAGATTGAAGTTTTTAAGTATCTTTGAAGCTTTATATGAAAATGTCACTTTGGAATAACTGCAGAAATCAGCTGTTATAAAATCACTTATATTTTAAAAGACTTATAAAGTTAGCTAGAGTGTGAGTTTAAACTATGTTTATGTATTATTTGATTTATGGTACTATTTAATTTTTCTGTCATTTCATGAATTTTAAATGCAAAGAGAGGGAATATCTTTGCTTTGGCTGCAGGCAGTATTTTGATTTGCAAGCCTGATATCTAAACCCTGATGAGAACTATTGTGTATCTTTATTGTGGCTTGTCTCTTATTTTAGGAAGTTATTGAGGAATAAAAAGCAAAATGCTTATATTATTATCCCACTTATTGGGAACTCTGCCTCTAGGCAAACTACCATTCAGAACAGTCAAAAAGACCAAAATGCACAAAAGCCAGATCTCAGAAACAGGAATAGCTCTCCTAAGGCCTAGAGACAGACACACACACACACACTCTTTGTTTTACTTTTAGGACCTAATTCACTCAAAGTCATATTTCCTGTTAGTATCTTCTAGAACTTTCATTAGAAACTTAAGGGAACAACCTATAAAATCTCAGGGACTATAAGAAATAAGGGCAAAAGGTAGAAGACTTAACTCAAACAAAAGAATACATACAAAATTTAGCTTACATATTTAAGAATGAATAGGCATATCAATTTATTAAAATTATTTTCATGACATTAGATCGTAAGTATGTGTCACTTATCTGAAATCTTTAGTATAACTCCATTTGATTCTGATAAACATTAAGTATTTTGTCTACCATTGTAAAGCATATCCAGAGTATCAGCAGCCTTAAATATTCTTACTACTTCCTTAATGAGTAGACATGGTAACAAGTTATACAAAACGATTCCCAAAATTTCATCAGGGGTAGACTTCATCTCACATATCCCATTGGCCTTCTTTAATTTTAGAACTAGAGAATGGATGGCAAGTGGAACTTGATGTTTTTATAATCATAAAAGCAGCCATTTACTAAATAGAGATGGCTGAGTATAACTTGAAACATCACACACCTAAAGCGGCCTCTAGTTAATCAGACGTGACAGGTAGGAAAAGGACAAAATCACAACACTCTGCAGAGTAAGACACTCCATTTAAAATGGTAATACACTCAATTGTCATCCCATTTCGCTTCTGACAACCCCTGGCATTTGCTCATGTCACTCAAGTTATATACTTCGTCAGCTGAATATCAAAACAATCATGACAGGCAAATAAATATGAAAGTCTGAGAAAATATATTCTGACAGGAGTTGCAACTGAGCATGAGTAGCAGACACCCACTGAGACTGACGATTGAATTTCACTTTGTGATAGGTTAAGAATCCCTTCTCTTAACTCTCTGTGGTTAGACATACGGTGATTTTCTCATCTCACACACATGCACACACACAATGTCTAAACAGCTAGGAAATATTTCATAATACATTAACTCATCAAATCTACCTTCTAAGCCAATTTTTATGGACAGACATGCCCGACTTAATGTTCAGAATCAATTAGCCAGCATCTAAACCATCAGTCAGCATAATACCTCCACTGAGGTAGCAACGACCTCATCAGCAACCTTCATTGCTCATTTATTGTTTAAATAAGTCTCATCAACATCAGGAAAGAGAATTCCATTTGGTAAAAAGTAAACTTTACTAAAATGCCCAGGCACTGATTTCATATTCTATCAGCCAAAACCATTCAAAGATCAAAGAAGTCAGGAGAATAGGCATTAACTTTCAAACAAATTTGCTGTGCATTATTTTTGTGGAAAAACATTCATCAATTCAGATTACACTTAGATGTGCAGCTTATAATAAAAATCTCCCTATTGTCTTTTAAGGCTCAATAATGAAAAGCAAATCTATCTAACGTGCAGTGTTAAACCCATGGAATGTTGATTGCTCCCCTACATTTAATGTCCATCCTCTGCATAATGTATAAGTTAATGTACCTTTTCCCCATGGGTCAATAATAAATACTCAATTGCTAGGTGGAAAAAATAAACAAAACTTTCCTTTTCCCAGTGCTTCAAATTAAATCTGCCATTCCAACTAGCCTTGTAGGATCAACCCTCTTGTGTGCATCTGAATTCCACAGGGATTTTGCTTGGAGGCATCAAATCCTCCTCTTCTGACTCTCAAACTTACTAGACTTATGCCCAATTTAAGCAAAATATCACTCAAAATACCATGTCATAGTCAAGTTCTATGGATTTCTAAGAGGCCTAAATTTTCCTAAAAATTCAGAAAATTAAACTACCAGTTACTAATCAAGAAGTTTGCTTGCTATTAGCCACCATAAAAAACTGCTAAAATTCAATCTTATTTAGTATGGACGTTTCTCAAAATGTTAAAAATATATCTCCCATATGATCTGGCAATTTCAGCCCTACGCAGCTATCCAAAAAAATACAAAAACATTCATTGAAAAGGGTATGTGTACTCTTATGTTCATGGCAGCACTATTTACAATAGGCCAGGTGTGGAAACAATAACTGCTCAAAGACAGATAAGTGGTTAAAGCTGTGGCATATATACATAATAGAATGTACTCAGCTATAACAAATGAAAAGATAAAATGTTATTTTTGACAACATGAATGGAACTGGAAGGGATTGTGCTAAGTGAAGTCAGAAGGAGAAAGACATACCAGATGATTTCACTTGTATATGAAATATATGTGGAAAAAAACAAAGCAAAGGATACCTTGCCACATCTACTGGAAGAATGAAGACCATTCCCAGCGGTCAGACTGTTGACATTCCAGAAAATGACCTTATCTCCCTGAAGGGATGCACTATTTTTTTGTTTATATATTTATGTCATTGTTCATTTTTGTACAATGTATTGTTCTATGCTTTCTCCTTTTGGCATATTCCCTGTGAGTTTTTGTGACGGGCCCCAGAGATACCCTGTGGAGGAACTTTAGTCATGCCAATGTCGAATTCAACCTCTTTGGATAGGAAAAGAAGTCTCAGGCTGACAAATGGTGAGGAAATAGAACCTACTATTCGCAAGACCTGTAGTCATGTACAGAACACAGTCGAGGTTGTCACACTGCATCTGTGACAAGATGAGGTCTGTACACTCACTTCCCAAAAGTATTGTTATTCAGGAGAGTGGGTCCCTTGTTGAAATCTGAAATTTCTTGGTCCAAAAAGAAAATAAAAAAGCATTCAGAGTTTACATGAGGCCAAGTGTGCTTATTCAAGGCCCAGAAAGAGGAGTTACTTCTTGAAAGAAATATTCAACTTGTCAAATTCAGCTGCTTTGATTCAACAAGCTACAGCAGTTAAAAACAAGGATATCATGATATTTTTGGACAGTATCTATGTTTCTGAAAAAGGAACAGTTCAGAGGCTGATGAGTAAGAGTGAAGTTGACCAGCTACAGAACCAAGATGCTGGATGATTCCTCAGACATATTCGTTATGTATCTTTAAGATGCAAAAAGATCATTAGTTAAGAAAAAAACAAAAACAGAACACCAAAACCAAACAAACCCTTGAAAATGACTGCAGAAATGAGGCTATGAGAGGGGAAGAAAGGCAAAGGAAGGAAAGCCCCAATGAACTATGGTAGAAAATTTTGGGGACTTTGGTAGTGGCATGTTGTGATCATTTATACTGGTAGAGGGAAGAAGATATATCCCTAAAACATAGGGCTGTATGCCAACATTACTGATATAAACATAATTAAAAAGAAAGCTTTGTATGAATATAAATGTCAAAGGAGAAAAATCTGCAGTCAGTTCTTACCCAAGGGTTTCCGGACTGACAGCCTGTTCTATGAAGTTCAGACTTGCTGTTCCCCACAATGGCATAAACCAATTACCTGAGTTAA